TAAAAACTACATTACACAGTGAATTGTTTAGGGATGAAACATTGAGTTTTTGACAAAGGTCACTAAAATTCATTAAATTCAGGTCAACTCCTAAAAACTAATTCAATTCATCAGTGCAAGTAATGTTGCATAATTTTTTAAACATGAAAAATTTGTTATATGCCTATTTATTATCACTATTACAAATATGCAAAACAGGTTTAAAATTAAATACAATACTTTAAATTTACATTCTTCATGTTTGTAAATTTTCCTCCAATAAAATTAAAGCACAAAATGTAGTTTTTAAAAATGAAAAATACTCTAGTTCATCTAAACATGAGAATACTAATGTGTTTTGCATAGGGCAAAAACCCCAGAAAGGTTTCTGCTTCACTACACTGGATTAAAAAAAAGTATTACATTAATAAACGCAGACGAAATATAACTAATACTAAAATATAAAAATTCAACCTTCATAACTCAATAACACTATTAAACATATATATAAGTAAAGTATAAAGGCAAATACAATAAAATAAACCATATATTGTTAATTAAATTTAACCCCTAAAATACAAAATATTTATTTAAGCCCAAAATTATTGAAGTTGGAGAGTGGTTATTTGCATCATGTTTCAACTCATATCGTTTAATGTTTTCTTTTTAGAATGAACCAAGAAAAATATTCTAAGTAGTACTTCCATATCTGAAATAGAGAATTATAAAGTTAACAATATCATGAATCATTATACATTATTGTTATGCTACCTTTAATTACTGATTTATTCATCAAGCAATGACTATCTTTTGCTTTAATAATATTAAGAACTTATCAATTAATCTGGTGAGCACTTATTAAATTCATTAATGATTTTTATAAAAGTAAGATATTTTGTGTGCAAAAATTTTTATTTTAGCAAAAATGCCCTCCAAGTTCTGGCAACAACCTGTCGAGTCACGTTTGAAACTAAAAAAGAAATGTACAGAAATGGATCGAATGTGAAGGGTAAAACGTATATTCCCCAGATATTTCCCTATCATGATCTGTCGCACCAGCTACAATCGATAAGACACTAAATGGATTAGAAATCTGCTATTTAAAAAAAAAAAAAACATGCACAGATTTACCAGTGGGCAACTTTCAGTCAAATTTAATGTTTTTTTAGTATTTTATTTTGTTGCTGTTGCAAAGGTACAGATCACGGTGTGGAAATCTTCTAGTTAAAGCTCATAGCAACCAAATATTAAACCATTACTTATGTATTTTTTATAAGAAAATTATGGCAAGTATAAGAACTAGCCTGTGGCATTTTAGCACCTTCAAGTTGCTGAGGGTATATCCATAACTGGTATTTGTTTGCTCCATCAAAAATCACCAAGTAAAACTTCCCAATTCTTGTACTCATAATAATCTTTAAAAATACATTTACAATGGCTACAAATGTCACCCTTGGCGTTAGTGACATTCTGTTAATTTTTTTATATTAGTTTCTCACATGCCACTGCACAGCTTTTCTCTCCCCTTCTTTTTTTAGTGTAGTTACCGGTACGGAAAAATCTTTTCAATTTTAGCGGGAGCAATTATAATTAGGGTGACCAGATTTTTTCGGGCAATGCCGGGGACACTCATCTCTACCCCTCCACCCCCAATTTTATCGACAGAAAAAACTGAGGAATGAATCTTCTTTAAAATTTCAGGCTTTTTTTCGAGTAATTGAGAAAATATGTCACATGAAAAATCAAAATTAATCAGTACAGATAAAACCGCTTTCACTGTATTCACATCCATTCGCGATTTTTCTTTAGTCCAATAGTTATTTATGCGCGAAAATACCCGTTCTACAGGCGCATTGCTGCTTGGCCAGCACATTGCAAGCTCAACAATTCTTTTGATATTTGTAAATGGTATATTGTTTTTTTGAAAATAATTGTTTATTTCGCGCCATTTGTCTGTTATGTGTACGGATTGGTACCATTTATCGTCTTTTGAATCCAAATAACCTTCAAGATAAGTAAACTCGTCAAATAAATCGTCGGAATTAACATTCAAAATTGCACATTTTGAAGAGAGAGACAGAACTGCCTCGTCGAATTCAGACCGTGAAGGCTTACAATCTAAAAGAAGGCACTTCAAATCAGACATATCATCGTTGTTATCGTTCCAAGCTTCTAAATATGAAATCGCAGCTTCATAGAATTCTTTCGACGTTTCTAAATAAGAATCTTCAGTAATGATATTCTCAGCAATCAATTTAGTCAATTCAGGTTTTACAACAAGTGGAACAAATTTGGCATTCTTTCGTGCTTTCAATTTAAATATCAAATCCTTGACAACCGCTCCAGATTCAATAACACATTTGTCATCGCTTTCAATTTTCAAGATGCTTTGATTAAAAATTGCAGCATGCGAATGCGCAAAAAACAACCATAACTCGGTTGTTTCACTCTCAAAATAATTCTTCAAGATTTTTGGGCACTTTTTTTCAGACAACATAAATTCTTTAAGAGATAAATAAATTTTAAGAATTCTTTCTGCAGCAGGAAGTAATGTCAACCACCTAACATGAATGTGTCCTAAAATTTTATGATATTCTTGGTCAGCATACTCACAAAATTCTTTCAGTCTTTCAATTCGGACTGTGTAAATTTTAAAATAACTAAAAAGTTTAGATACCATAACTTCAATATCTACAGGCAAACAATCAAAAGCAGTTTTAGCGCCATTATGTATAATATGCGCATTACACCCAAAACCAAAAATATCTCTTCCTAACTCAGTTTGAAGTTTAGTATGAACATTTTCTGTTCCTCTTCTTAACAATCCTCCAAAATTAGTGTTAGTATTATCCGCAGACAAACCAGCCATTTTATCCTTCAATTGGAACTCGAATAGTGCGTTTAATATTTCTGAAGATAAAATCTTTACAGTTTCTCCTTTAATTTCGTTTAGTGATACAAGTTTATTATTAATTGGATCTTTAGCACAGTCCCACTGAAAATACCGCACTAAAATAGGAAGTAATTTTACATGATTGTGATTGGAAGTATCGTAAGATATTGTTACAAATTGAACAGACTGTAAATCTTTCTTCAATTCAAGAAATGCCCACGGAGAAAAAACATTGACAGCGATAGCTTCGCATTTTGTTCGGGCACAAGAAAATTTCTTGTCTACAAATTTCTTCTGTAAATTTGAAGTACAGTCCATGCTGCGAAACGATTGGTTGTGACGAATGGTGTGAAATGCAAGCGTTCCTTCATATGTTGCTAAGTCAAACTCTTCTTTGGATGGTTCCAGCTTACGAAAAAACTGTTTGACGGATTTCGTTTTTGTTTTTGCTGCCAAAGCTTCTTTGTGTTTAATTGTAAGAATGTGATCTGCTATAGCTGTTCGTCCTCCACTTCCAACTGAAAACGTTGCTCTACACATTGTACATTTTACTTTGGAAGAATTATTAGGATTCGGTTCAATAAATGGAAACTCGTTTTTCCAATCATCCAAATAATGACATTTTCTTTTTTTTGTTTATGTTGCCATATTGACATCTATTTTAAAGAAATAAAAATATTTTTCTAAATATCTATTACGATAACAAATTATGAGGTTTTCAAAATGTAGAATAATTAGAATTTATAAAAATTAATTAGTCGTAAGTGATAATAATAACAATTTCATAAAAAATGGTTTTATACTTTATTGGTTAGATATTTATAAAATGTTTACCTGATTATAAAATGTTTTAGTTATTTTTCTAAAATAAAACGGAAATGTAGTAATTGTTGTTGTTTTTAGTGGAAATTAGCTAATATTGGCAGTTTATGTAACCCAAGATATTAATTGTTTTAAAAGCAGCAACTAATATTCATGTTACGTCTTGTTTTAAACTTCTTTTCTTATATAAACATGTCTGGCGTACAGCCTAGTAAAAATGTAAACATAACTAGATATTAAAGTTATGTGTTCCAAAATTTCTGTAGTATAAGTTATAGTGTGTTCTTAAAAACTAGTTTACATTTAATTTTCAATGCTTACATTAATTTGTATGAAAATTTTTGAGAAAATAAAAATTACATATAACATATTTTTATCAAATATTTTACACAAAATTTTTCAATTTTATAACCGGGGACAAAACCGGGGACGCAAACCGACCGGGGACACGAGGTCCTCGCCGGGGACAATCCCCGGAAATCGGGGACGTCTGGTCACAATAATTATAATCAGTGAGGAACTGTCCTGCCTATTACTGATTTGTATTGACCTAAATCTACCAAGCTTTTTAAGAAATTTACTTTATTTATATCAATTTAAAATTATAAATAATTTAATAAAAAAAGTGCATAGTTTTTATTTTAATTTACAAATCTTCTGAAACTAATTTCTTAAAAAAATAAACATCATTAACTTTTCTTTAGTTTTTTATTCTAATCATAAGCAATTATTTTGTCGTACAGATTTCGTAGCAAATAGCGAGAAATATAATTTTACAACCACCAATAATTTACTTGTAAAATACTACTACTATCTAATACGTTTTTTAATTTGTTAAATAAGATAAATTCATAAATGAAGATCGTACAAAACTTCAAGAAACCTTCCACAAAAATTGCCAACTCTACGACATGCTAATTCTGCGGAATTAAACATTTATTTTAGGATCACACGATTTTTTGCTTCTTAAAACTCTAGTTTTTCTGTACTAACTAATTGCATTGTAGGTTTAAATTTTTCAAAAATCATTTGTTTGAGAAAAAGTTTATTTATTTACCTTTTTCTAACCCGGAACTATGAGTTTGAAATGCGGCAAAAGAGTTTTCCGACTACCTTTTTCTGTTTATCGCTCTAAAGTGAGTTTTTTTATTTATTTTTATACTTATCCCATTTAATTAATCACAAATCTGCTCCTTATAATTAATAAATTTAAGACTATGTGGTTAAGCACTGCTTTTTTTAAAAAAAATTAATGCTGTTGTTTAATATTTTAAATTTCCACGGTTTAACTTTTAAACTGTTTATCAAACTGATGTAAATATAAACAAATCTAAAGCTGTCCAACACAGCATTGCATCATTTTTTCTTAGCAATTAATCAAGTAATAGAAATAATATAGTAATTTTTCAAAACATTTCATACATAAATATACGTTCCAATTGTCATTTTCTTTTTATGACCTTATTAAAATGTTTACACATTCTTTTTTAAATTTATAAATATCTTTACCGCCTATATTATTTAATGATTTAATGCAAATTTTTTATGGTTATTTTAACATGCAAATTATAAATTCTTATTCCTAGAAAACTGTTCATCCTTCTTCTGTTAGTAGCTGAGTTTTTTTATCTACGTTTTCTGAATAATTATAGGTTAATTTCGGCATTTTTCCTCCCCCTATCAACGTTTTATTAATTACTGGGGTCACAAAATAACCCCGCGAGTCTTCCCGTTTGTACTACAAATCAGTTTATATCTCGTTGCAAATGAGTTTAGTGCATTACTTTTCGTTCCTAATTGAAGTTATTTCTTCTTGTTTTATAAGTTCATTAGTGTTTTGCTGCTTAAGTACAAATACTGTTTGCAATCTGACAAAAATACACTAACTGTGTATAAAAACCGACGACATTACCAAACTGTGTATAAAAATCAAAGACCTGGTTATGCCACTTATTAGTGATCAACATTAGCAAACGTGTGGACAATCAGAGTTTGAATCTTGAACCAGTGGTTCAATTATTAAGCAGTTGTTGCCTGGTTATTAAAGTTAGACACATGATACCGAATAGGAGCTTTTAGTCCTCGGTCGCTTTCAATTATTAGGTTTACATCCCCCAACACCTACCTATCACTTGATAAGAAACGTGTATAACACCTCCTTGAAAGAAAACTTGCCGCGATTCAGAGGAAAAAAAGGAAAGCAATGCTTGCTTGTAAGGAAGGCATGAGGACCTATGGAATTTATATATTCACAATTATTCATCTGATAAATGTCTGAATAACGGTTTTTATTTGTATGAGAATCTCAAAAATTATATTTCTGTTCTCTTTTTTTACACCAGCTGCATTAAACACTGTCTTCAAATTGATAAGAAAGTGAAGGAAATTTTCAGTGGGGAAGAAGTAATTTAACTTGTTGGGTCTCATAAGTGTCGTCCAGATGAACAGATCAAAAGATGCCATTGTCCGAATGAGCAATATCATTTTCTCTCCTTTCTTTGGAAAGATAAGGCAAGGGGACAGGAAAAAGATTAATTCTTTAGTAGTGAAATAGTTTAATATTTTTAGTTTTAAAGAAGGAAAAAATGTACATGCTTTAAAAATGGGGAAAAGTTGCATATTTTTTCCGCTCAGAAATTTTTTTCCCTTCATGTTCACAAAAAATAATATCCGGCTTGAAGAGATAGAAAATAACGTTTCAAGGCAAAAGTGTTACGAGAGTGTCCACTTTGCGGAGAATGTTGCATAATGGTTTACCCAGAAGCAGAATATTTTCAAATGTTCTGCAACAGGACTTATTAATTTATACAAATGTTCTGCAAGCATTTCACAGCGAAAAAAAGTCAGCTTTACGTTAAAATACTATATTTTCATTTATTAAAATACAGGATCATACACAGATACTCTACGCTATTTTTTAAACTAAGGCAAACATTCTTGATTTGCTACTTTTTCAATCACTTTTGAAGTGTAAAATTTTGTTAATGACGATGAATTATTGATAAATTATTATCGCAGGAAAACGCTGTCACTTATTCAAGATACAAATTGTTCTGCAGGACTTCGTTTGTTCTGCGACGTACATCACAGTTTTAGGCACTTTCTGTTTCTGGGATGGTTTGTTCATAAAAGATTCAAGGTGAATCAAAAATATGTCCGTATTGAGAGACGTCCGTTTTGCAGGACTCCTCAATAAGAGTTTTTACTGTATATATATATTGTCCTATTCAGGATATTAATTTCTTTACAATTTAAAAGATCTTTTTTAAAGGTTTCTTACAAAGCAAAGCACTGTAGCTAAATTTTTTCTGAATTCTATTAAATACTTACACTTGTTACCTAATTTTTTTTCTCTCCTTGTAGTTTATTGGTTTTAAAATATTTGCATTTTACATTTTTTTCTCTCAAGTTTAAAGCATTAGTTGTGATGAAGATTTGGCAATGCTGATTTTACTAAATTCTCCTCCTCATAGTTAAAGTAGCCTAAATAGAAAAAATTATTTCCTTTAAGCACTCACTAATTTGATTTGAATGTATAATGATTTATATAAATATGTCTTAATTTTGATGATTGTAAAATAATTTATTTTAAGCGATAGAATGTATTCTTTTTTTTTTTTTTTCAGGTCTTGCCGCTTTTGAAAATTATTTTATGAATTGAAAATATGGACAATAATAGTAACTACATTTGATTTTAAAATTCTTACCTTTTCATTTTAGTGGTATATTGCAGGTTTTATATTCAGTGGACCCCTGGTGTTACGTTGTCCGTTTTATTCGGTAATCCCCTTTCTACGTCATTTTCTGCTGGCACGTAAAAATTGCCCATACTGATAATGTTAAATTATCATGGATTTTACATTATCCTTTTTAAGAAAATCCTACTACATACATTTTTCTAACAGAACAAAATCATTTTTTCTCTACAAAACTCTCACAAACCTTTTTTGATTTTTCTTTTTCTTTTTTAAAAAGAGGATACTTGCTTATTTGCATTTTATAGCTTTTCTTAAATTTTTTCTATTTCATCTTATTGTCCGTTCTGTCTATGAGAAGGGTAAGGAAGTGTATACGCTTAATAGTAAAATTTGTGAGTGGAATTTTTTCCAGCAAATTTCAAATTTTGTTATCTTTTAATAATTTAAAGAATGTTACACTAAACAATTGGTTTGGCAATCATTTATTTTACTTGATTCTGATGCAAGATGCTTCAAAAGCAAATAAAATCTTTTTGGAAGGTCTGAATTTTGATTTCCACAGTGTTGGATAGTGTCGACTCAAATGCATTACAAATGGGTTTAACAAAGCTTCCGTGGATTAATTGCTTCTCGGTATCCAATGGGAACATTGGTCCTTTGAAATTAAATTGCCTGTTTGAAGATCTTTCGAATCCCATGATGTGTATATCATCTGCAACATACATTCTACTACTTTTCAATATCTGATTTAATGGCTGCTGCTAATGATAGTCATGAAAACAATGACAATAAACAAGAAATATCAGAGGATATACCCGCAACTGATCTAGAGTTTGAAAGCATATAAACTCTTAAAACATTTGTTAATGTAAACTATAAAGCAAACAATACTAAGTATTCAGAGCAATATTGTTGAAATTGTATTCAAGAACTAAAAAAGATTACACCTTTTTTCTATTAATTCTTGTTAGTTAAATGTTTGAAAAATGTACTTAAATTCCCCCCCCCNCCCCCCCCCCCCCCGGATTTTACATTACCTTGCTTAGTGCATTTTTTGAGGCTAGTCCGACGGAGAACATAAAATTTGGGTTCCACTGTATATTATTATTGTCACTACATCAAAACCGCTAATCTTCTTGTTTGACAATCTTCACTTAAGGACTTTTTTAATTTGTTTTTTAGCAAATTATCTCGAATGTAACTTTTCATTCCAGTTTCTGTTATGGTATTGATGCACTATTGCATTTCTCTATTAATATTATGGTATTTTTGTTTAAATCTAATAGTATGCTAAATATTTTTCTCGTCAAATTCGGTGTTTTATTAACTGTATTGAATTACTGTGAAATATTTAATACATTGACCTTTTTTAAAGTAATCTGAAAATAGTGTTTTGTGAATGTATTCTTTATTGATATCTTGATTGAATTTCTTATAACAATTTCATTGCTTAAAACATGATATACATATCAATTTTTGATTTTTAAAGAAATGAAAATATATTATAATTACAGAAATATTTATAATTACATGAAAGAATGTAGGAGTTTATTTAAAAAACTTAGTTCTTATAAAAACTTAAATGTAAGATTGTAAAAAAAGTTAACTTTTAGTACTGATAACTTTGTTAGTAGTAATGGTAACACATGATAAAGTTAATCTGTGTGTATCAGAGTAAATTTTTTTTGAACTCAAAGGTTTAGCTTAAACATAGCTTAGTTTACCATGTAGCCAGAACATTAAAATTTTTTTTTTAATATTTAATGATTTTAATGAATTACATTTAAATAATTTTTAACAGAATTATTAAATTTTTTTTTCAAAAATAAAATTATTGGCAAAAAATCAAGGTGTGCTGCATTTAAAAAATTGTAACTTTTTAAAAAATGTTTATATAAAGTCTTTTTTTTTTTTTTAATTATTATTCTGTGCCAGAAATAGAGTATCTTGGTAATTTTTTTCTATTATTAACTTTCTCATAAATGTCTCTTTAAGGTGCTGTTCAGGATTTCAAAAGTATTCTAGATAATGAACCTAATGTGTCACCTGCAGTTGCTGCTTTACGTGTGCTACTAGATTTCATGGTTAAAGACACATGTAAGGAATTTATATTATGATATATTATTTATTATCATACATACACTAGTAAAGGAAACAATAGTAAATTTTAGCTTGTAACGGGAAAAGTTTTTTTGTGTATTTGATTGAATTTTTTAAGATTGAATTGAAACCAAATATCCCAATAGCAACACCAACTTTACGTTTTNTTTTTTTTTTTTTTTTTTTTTTTTTTTTTTTTTTTTTTTTTTTTTTTATAGACTGAAATAAGGATACAAGGGTAGTTAGACATGGAAAATGTGATGATAAAAGCCATTGTAAATCTATGCTTTTAAAAATCCTCAAATTTAATTATTAAGCTAATGAAAATTGATCACAATAAAGCTGAGAAAAAATGTAATGACAAATTTCATTAATTTTTACCCCAAAAAGTGCAGTTAGCAAATTTTGCTATCAAATATATGCACACTTTATGTTAAGTATCTGAAACTTTAAAGCTAATGTGAGTAATATTAATAATTTTTTTAAAAAAAATAAAGTTATAGAAGAATTGTATGTCAAAAAATTGAGCAAATCTTTTCTGTAAAGTTTCGCCAGTGAGACAAGCAAATTTATTATTAGTTGGGTCACAAAATTTTTTTTTTTAAAAATTCTATTTATACCAGATGTATTTTTAAATCAAATATATATACAATAATGTCTCATTGTCCCATGGATGACAGGGGAATATTTCTATTCAATGAAATTGAAATTTCTATAACATTAGTAATCTTAAATCAATTCTCTATGATCTAACAGTATTATTTAAAAACAAGCACTTCTGAGTTTCTTATTGTTTGTGTGTGAGCTGATGAAGGGATTATATCTTTGCCCCCAGTTTTTTGTTATGTTATTTTATTTTAATAATTTTCTTCTTCTCTCTTCATTATTCTGTAATTTTTTCCATGTTTTCTCAATATTTTGAGCTTATTTTATGAGTTCTATATACTTGCAGCTTATGTGCAGTAAATAAAACTTATTAATATTCTTTATTTTTTTCTTTTTTTAATCCCTTTTGTATTTATTTATGTTGCTATATAT